CCTTGTTACAAATGGCGCTGAAACGCATTATGGTACACGATTCGTGTACCAATGGTAAAATGTTTATTTTGTTTTAAATATTGGATATCATAAGCCCATCTTTTCCAGGTAAGACCACAACACCAATGCTGATTTAAATTGCAAAAAAAAAATCGTGTTTTCAATGTCGAAGATTTGGGATGATACTGAGCTAGGACTTAGCTACTTTAACATTATAAGAGATATGGCCCAAAGTCATATGTGATGCTCGGAAGCTTAATCAACATTAGTTTCATAGCAGATCTGTCCCTGAGTATGTTATAAGTAACAGTCAGAATTAAAATATCCACTATACACTCGGTCACCCCCAACCCAATACTCAATTCCTATATATATACTTTAAGGCTGGCCACTTGACCATTTTACCTCTATATTTTTTTTAAATACTGGTCGCCAATCAAAATCATTTAAAGTTCACGACTTTATTCCGTCGTTTTAAACAAAGCAAGGTCGCGGGGTCAATATACAATGTATATATGTTTCTTTTTATGATCATGTTCCTTGTTATATTTGTATGTACATCTTCAATATTTAGTTTTATCTGGTTGACAGGACACGGAAACAGTCAGCCGACCACCATAACTTGAATACCAATGTGTAATTTTCGTATGGGTAGATATATCCGCAAACATTCTTAATACGCTTTCTCTCACATCTGTTACTTCGGGATATAGCTTTAAACCTCGTACTTTCGGACTTCGCTGAAAGCAAATAAGCTATACAAAAACATACATTGGTCAGGCAGACCTAGCTATATAAAGCTGTCCAAAGTTTGGCATGCCTTATGACGTGATTCAGAGTGATATCGGAATTTATATTGGCAATGTTTTGATAACAAAATGTTCGTCACGATTATAATAAGCATATTACTATTTTAGGATTAACATAGATAATGGTATTTATTTACTATGATATGTATATCGTAATACAAAAAAATCTGACCAATGCGATGACCCACCTCGACCCAAGCATTACACTTTCATCAATGCGTCTCTGCTATTAACGTTTTTTAAAATGCGCATCAATGCGTGAAAAGTTTGTCTCGGTGTTAATATATGACCAGTCTTTAATTTAATGTCCCACCTATATACACTATAGGAGATAACATGTTGTAATTTAATATATAAAAAATCTGAGATAAAGCAGCGTGACATGATATCACGGTAGTTTACTTTAAAAAAACGTAAATAAACTGTTGTTTTTGGCTTCACTTCTAAGAAAATGACCATGTTCGTGTAGAAAGTCCAGCTTATCCAAGAGCTATTTTGCAATAAACATGTATCATGATATTATGTTTAGTTGGTTTAAATAATGATTAACTTTATACATGATTATAATAAGGTATGTTAAAAGAAATTCTAAAGAACTACCATTAAGTGGCGGCAAAGCTGGGGAAAAGTCTATGGTTAAGGAGGCAAAGGCACGAGTTTCAACTAGGGTAGGGGCAGGGGCGTAAATGTGGGGAAGAAAAATAGTCGGTCGCAAAATCAGTGTAGTCGGTCGCAAAATAAGAGCAGTCGGTATCAAAATAAGTCCTCACTGCATACGTCACGCTACTCACGCAAAACTTTAGTATAAAATAACCTTGTCAACTTATCATGTTTGAAAAAATGTTGTGTTTCACTCTTATTCTGTTGTGAGTATGTTGGTCTATGAGCAAAATTTCCCCCAGGGAGAAAAATAGTCGGTCTCAAAATAAGTGCAGTCACTGCAGTCGGTCTCAAAATTATGCATCGGCGACTCAATGAATTAATAAGGTAAACACACAATACCAGAATAGATCCCAAATACTATATTATTTGTGTGAATCCGTGAGCCTAAAATGCATACGTCACACAAAACTATAGGATAAAATAACCATGTCTGCTTGTCACGTTTGAAAAAATGTTTGTCACTCTTATTCTGTTGTGAGTATGTTGTTCTATGAAATGTATAGTCGGTCTCAAAAAAAGTACTCACTGCAGTCGGTCTCAGACTAAATGAATTAATGAGGTAAACAAACAATTACAAAACAGGCGAAATTGACAGACAGGCCACAAGATTCTGTCTCATTTCTTATCCTCTCGTTAGCTAGAATTGGTTCCATTTCCCACGACAATGACTAAAATTCTCAGGCCCTGTCCCGAAAAATTAAAAGCTCGGTTACATATCTGAAATTTTTTCGCGCCTGCGGCGCTCGATTCCGTTATAACATTATTCTTCTATTCCTCTGTTTTCTTATACAGGTCTCAGCACTATCATATTCACGGTTTTAGTGAACTGCCCAGTTATACAGGTGTGTGGGTCGTGGGGCGTCAGACTATACAAATGTTATGTCAACTCTTGCAAAACAGGCGGAATTGGCAGGGGCAAATCTCGAGATTCTATCCCATTGGCTCACATTTCTGGTCCTCTCGTCCACAAGACTTTCTCCCAGCAATGACCTCAAATGCTAGGATATTGACTCAATTTTTCAAAATTTTCTCATGTTGCTCAGTGTTATAGGCACAATCATCATATATGACATAAACTTTATGTCAACCTAAATAAAACTGCTTTCCGGTGAGACAACGATCGGCGAACAACTATATAATTATACAATACTGTCTATGTTCTACTGGGACGCTTTATGTTATAACCAGTATTTTGTTGACATTCATTGTGGGATGGGATTGTGGATAGCGCCCTATATTTGGAACCATCCCTACCCCATCCCTATTCCCAGCTTCTAGATCCGCTCTGCACATGGCCCCTAGAAAACTCGCACCTGTGGTGCGCGGCTCCTGACTGCGTCACTCGTACTGGGGGTATGTGCATCAGTCGGTCGCATTTTGGCTACCCCCCCCCCCCAAACAAAATCGTTATGTATTTTGTTGACATTCATTGTGGGATGGGATTGTGGATAGCGCCCTATATTTGTAACCATCCCCACCCCATCCCTATTCCCAGCTTCTAGATCCGCTCTGCACATGGCCCCTAGAAAACTCGCACCTGTGGTGCGCGGCTCCTGACTGCGTCACTCGTACTGGGGGTATGTGCATCAGTCGGTCGCATTTTGGCTACCCCCCCCCCCAAACAAAATCGTTATGTACGCCCCTGGGTAGGGGTGGGGGACTCCTCTAGAAATTTTTGAAAAACAGGCTGTCGGAAATGCAGCCTGGCAGTATTTCAGAAACTGTTCGTTGACATAAAGTGTTAAACGAACGGACTTGCGAACCTCGACGAAGCCCACTAACGAGCGGCAAAGTAGGGAGTTCTTACGGAGGGTATGGGGGACCTCCCCCAGAAGATTTTTTTTTTAAAAATAGACTGCCGGAAATGCTGTCTGACAGTACTCACTCAGGCACCGATTGTCGAGATCAATAGAGCTGATAAGATACAGTCTGTTGCCTGATCACTAGTTCATCCGACCCCAAAGAGTGAAGTGTCAAACGAATGGACTTGTAAACCTCAACGAAGCCTCCGAAAATTTGAAAAATAGACTGCCGGAAATGCAGTCTGGCAGTATTTCAGGCACTGATCGTCGAGATAAATAGAGCTAACCAGATACCGCCTGTCACCAAACCACTTTTTTATCCGACCAGAGAGGAAAGTGTCCAACGAACGGGGTGAGAGAATCAAAATGAATGAATGTTTTTGCCACGATATTTTGAGAAATAGACTGCCGGAAATGCACCCTAGTAGTATTTCAGACACTGGTCATCGAGATAAATAAAGCTGGCCAGATACTGTTCGTCGCCAAATCACCAGCTTATCCGAACAGAGAGTGATTGTATCAAAGTGAACGATTCGCCGAGATAAACCTATACCCAAAAACTTTTAGGATCGTAAAAAGCTCTTCTCGAGTGGGTTACGTGTTATTGTTTATAGTAGGTTTACAGCAGGATGCGCTTGGTAAGAAATCCCCCCCCCCCTTTGGCGCCGCCACTGCTACATTTGTATTCAGTATTCAGTGAAAATTATTGCTACCTTCTATATCAAATGCTAGCATTTTGAACATTGTCCCCACCAGGTTATTCGGTAGGTCTTTCGCTTCAATAGATCTTATCGGGGGCGGATTATTTATTATATTGCACATTCAACTGCTCAGAGAGAGAGAGAGAAATGGGGTTTAACGTTCACTCGACACAAACCAGGTCATTTCGAGACTAACACATGGTTCTTAATTTTATTTCAATAATTCGCTTGCGCGTAGGGGTCTTTAGCAGTGGGAGGAAACCGGAGGACCCGGAGAAAACCCACGAGGTTGGACAGGCGACTCTACTCCTTGTCACGTACAACCGGGGATTCGAAACAACACCAGTCGACTCAATGACAGACTTTATGATACAGCGCGCGCACGCTAACCATTCAGCCATCCAACCCCCCTCAACTGCTCAGTTTTATTATCAGAAAATAATAAAATGGATACTAGACCTATGATATATATCGTGTTTTTGTTTTCAAGAACAGTGTTCGAGAATCCTCGACGTAATAATAGGCTATTTATCAATATTATCGTTGCTATACTATTATTTCCCATAACAGATCCACTTGTATTTATACGCCCATCACCCCCTTAAAAACGGACCGCCGCGCTCTACCTAATAAGAAAAAACCCAACCCCAACTAAACCCACTATACAATTTTTTTTAAATCACCCCCCCCCTCCCCACCCACTCAAAATATAAAATAAGAGTTAGACCTATGCTTAAAGAAGATTCAAAAATAGTTAAAACCAGACTAATTGTTTAGACCTAGACACAATTTACAGGGCATGTTCATTTCATTCGAAGCTGCAATCAATCGCTTACGCAACAACAGCTTCATTTAATAAAATATGTGTTAAATCTTCGCGAAAGTAAAATTATACATTTAATCTAGTTTCAATGTATTTTGCGAGTATTTCACCCCATATATATTCATTAGGAAGGTGAATCGCCTGTTGTATCACGTGATAATTAGTCAATCGGTCTACCTAGTCTTCTGACAAAGAAAACGCAGAACATGTGGTGGCTGTTGAGTTTAGTTATCTTGGCGTCTCCAGATTTGTTTGATTACTATTTTCTTACGCGCGTGAGAGTTGATCCTATCCAACCATAACATGATAACAAGACTAGACTACTCGATGAACCGTTACGAACATATTCTTTTCGAACGAGTCGTGAAAGGGATGATTGGAGAAAAAACGAAGAATTCTGAATGATATGTGTATACGAAAGACGTCATAAAGTAATTTGTAGAGTTCACAACAAACTAAAAAGCGAGGTTTTCTTAAGGACATTTGGAAAGATTGGTTTACAAACAAAGTGCTAGGACCAAAGGATATTATTTAGAGGAGTATTTACAAATGCCGAAGGACTACCTAACGGGATTCAAATCTCGGTAGAGTCTGAAAAGCATGAATTTATCGTTTTCGGGTTGTGGTTTTTTGGGAATTTATCACATTGGAGTTGCCAGTTGTTTCAAAGAACATGCGCCACAAATTGTGGAATCGTGTAAATTTGCAGGAGCCAGTGCTGGTGCAATAGTGTCTTGTTGTTTAATGTGTGGCTGTTGTTTAGGTTAGCATTTCAAGTTTTAATTCAATTTGATAACATCTACCTATTCACCATAGTGCGATGTGTTTAGTTTTGTGTAGTCGTAGACATCCAGTTTTGATCGGACACAGGCCTACTGACCGAATTTTGTTGTTCTGAACTGATCATATAACAAGTGCACTCGTATGTCAAATACTACAGAAGACAGACATTGCTTTTGATATCAACATTACGGAGTCAGTAACCGACTTCTTAACTGTTTATTCTTTAAGATAACCGACAAATAGACCTATTGCCTTACATTAAAAAAATGTTAAAGGTTGTCTTAAATAAAATAGAGTTCAGATTCTCAGTCAAGGCCATGGCATTGACTTGCATAACTATATTGTCTTCGCCCTCACAAGATTATTTTAAGTGTCATTTTCACCATAACCAAATTTAATAAATGTCTTAGTTTGTTGGCTAAAATTATCGAAAATCGGTGCATTGTATTTGTTGTATGATCTAGCCCAACTTAGTGGTAACTTTGTGCTTTGTCCTATAACAGGTCTGAATCAAAGTATTTATCAATGGCCTGCATGACCTGTCATTTTGTATCTAGGTGTATCTCCTCAACTTCAAACATAGTCAAAGGTCATTAATCTTTTATAAAACATTTCTGATGGATGGTAATCACCAGACTAATATTGTCCATTTGCTTGTATGTCATTGTCATGAAAGTGTAAAATAAATAGTGATATTTTGAAAATACTCTCAGCGATTTTTTTATTAATAAAAGTAATATTTATTGCCTTTCGTTTTTTTACAGGTGAATGTACAAATTTTACCTTGCGGTTAGCTACTAAAGCACGATCAAGAACCCTTGGACCTCTTCATCCCAGTTTTAACATCAATAAAATTTTACGAGAAGCTTTAAGACAAGTTTTACCGTCTAATGCACATGAATTAGCAACAGGAAGATTATTTATATCTTTAACAAGAGTGTCAGATAAACAAGCAGTTATTGTTTCTGAATATGAATCTAAAGAAGAATTAATACAGGTACATTTAAAATTAATAGAGACTGAAATTAAAATTTTGCACTCGCTCTCAAACTACATGTAAGACCAGACTAAGTTGCCTCGAATTCTGTTAAGTACTATAAAGTCTATATTTGGGTGTCCTTTCGCCTAAGAAAAATCACCCGAAACCCACAAGGTGATCACAACAAATGTAAGCTTATCATATTATTAAATCTGATTAACATCAGATGCTTTCAATTTGGCTGTCAATGGTTTTTATATGCCCACATGGAAATGTGGTTGTGTATATTGCTGTCGCTCCCATCTGTCTGTCCGTTATCGACAATTGCTTGTGGACACTCTAAGAGGCTAAATTTAAAATTTCTGATTGACTTTAAATTGTAGCCCAAAATGGAAATTTCTTGGATTCTGATTGGTCGAAAAGTGGCGTCGAATGAGTATAACAGTCCTCTAAATTTCCTGGGCGACTCACTGTGAATGAATATTTTCTGGGTGCTAGACTCTGTTTGCAGTGGCCAAAAATTCTACACCTCAAAACTTTATTCTAGGAAATCTTCATGAATTTTTTCTTGTATGTCAACAACAATGAAATTCAACCATTGGCTTATTGAAACACACACCTGAAACACAAAAAAACAAAGTTAGTGAGTGTATTTGAAAGATAATGATTAAATTTTATTTCAAGGCTGGTCTGACAATAATGGTTGCTATGGTCAGTCTATCATAATCAGACTGGTCAAAATCGAAGATTTTCAACAAGTGAAGAAAAATACTATAATTTATTGAACTCCGTATGGATCGTAAATAACTGATTGGGATATATTTTAAAAAATATACAAGTCGGGCTGACACTGATATGAAAAGGACAGAGACTAATTTTCATACACAGGCCAGGGTTTTTTGAGAAGAAAAAAAAAATCACAGAGTCGAAATGACAACGTAAACAAGCATAGCAATTAGCAACCACATGCGTACGCTACACAGCACATATATCTACACTGTCACACGATTGTATGGACATTTATCAAACATGATATGCAATTTATTTCTAACCTACATGTAGTCACTGCTGGAGTTCAAAATCATTTAAAAAGTACATAAAATACACTTATGATTTCTGTTTTGATCTTTAAAATTATCGCAGAGTGACCTCCCTTTCCAAACAGACACAATTGACCAGTCGCTTAGTGAACCAAATGGAATGGAAATGAGTGTTATCTTATTACATCACGGATATTTTCATTACGTCAAAATTGTTTTCCTTGGTATTTACGTCATTAAAACCAAAAAACGACCGTCAACTATGGCGAAAGGAAGAATTCCAAGAAAAATGTTAAATATTTTGGCCTACATGTACAATATCGATAAACACCTCCTGTTTAGAATTTATCGTACTGTTATTGTCCATTTGATACCGCTTAAATTTTTCATTAGAGGCGCACGATCGCTACGCGATCTCGGCCTCTAATGATTTAAGCGGTATCAAATGGACAATAACAGTCCTCTAAATTCTAAACAGTTGGTGTTTATCTCCTAATTGATACACATTGTTTATTAAGGTCATGTGACGAAGAACCCTATTGGTTTTCAACGATTTCCGATACTAACTGCCAGATTTATGGCCCTTGATCACTTTGAAAAATCTTGTAGACACTCTAGAGCCTAAAGTTAGTATCCGATTGACATTAAATTTATACACAGTATTTAATGTCATGCGACGAAGAGGGCTATTGATTTTCAATGATTTCTGATAATTACTGCAAAGTTATAATGACCCTTGATCACTTTGAAAAATTTTGTGGACGCTCTAGAGGTTTAAGTTATTATCCGATTGACTTTAAATTGATACACAATGTTTAAGGTCATGAGACGAAGAATCCTATTGATTTTCAACGATGTCCAATAATTACTGCCAGAGTTATGATCCTTGATATTAAATGTTTTGTAAACTAAACGTTACTTTAGGGCAGAACTAAAAGCCAAATGATTGTTAGTTACTTGTAATCAGATTTTTAGTATGTTGTAAATGTTTTCATTTCTGACAAAAGAAAAAAATGTACAAACATCTTTGTTGAATGCCCGGACGACTTAGCTGATGTGGGCGTATGTTTTGTTGCCTGGCAACCTATCTTAGATTTTACCAGATTTACAGGGGGGTTTGATGGCTGAATGGTTAGCACGTGCGCGTTGTATCATAAGGTCTGTCATGGAGTCAACCGACATGGTTTCGATTCCCCAGTTGTAAATGACGAGGAGTTGGGTTGTCTGTCCAACCTCGTGGGTTTTCTCCGGGTCCTCCGATTTCCTCCCACAGCTAAAGACCTTATGCACAAGCAAATTATTGAAATAAAAATTGAACCATATGTTTGTCCCGCGAAATGACCTAGTGTGTGTGTGTCGAGTGAACCTTAAACCCCATCTCTCTCTCTATCTCTCTCTCTCTCTCTCACCAGATTTACATGTAATTTGTCTTGAACATTTGACAAGTTTTGTCTTTGTATTTAATTCCAACATGTATAAGCTAAAGCTTACTGTAAACATCGAGTGAAAATGTATCAAGACAAAATGTATTCTTATCAAGACAAAACATTGTCAACTTATAAACTCCCACTGAAGTCACATGACAGTGTAAAACATCTGCAGCCTTTCTTGATGTCACAGTGCATCATGATAAAAAATATGTCAAATTAATATAGTCAGGGCACCTTATACACTAAATAACAAGCCTTACCTTTATTTCCCCCAATTATGTCATCACTCAAAAATAGTCATGTTGCATTTAAAAACTTATATATTTATTCAAAATGCAACAGAAATTTATTGCAATCGTATTTTGTCTTGTCCGTAAATTTGTTTTGTGTAATTCACTAATTGTTTGTGTGTGATGCAGTCCCCTTGCACTTACTATTAAGACTAAGAGCAAAGTCAGTTACATGCCCTTGGTGCGCAATTTGTCGTGCTAAACCATTCTACCGTTCTCTGGCTGAATAGCCTGAATTATCAAGACTATATTATACAACACATTACAGAAAATTTGGTCAAATATCCAAATACAGATGATCATGAGTATGGCAAGTCAACGAAAGTTTTAGGAACCTTATAAAAACCAAAGGAAGATACTACATGTACTCAAATTTTATTCTTCATTGTATACAAATTCTACTAAACAAAAATTGCCAATAAATAGGAAATTGAAAAATATACCCAAAGTAATTTTCTAAATATTATAATAAAGATTGTTAAAGTAGATGGGCATGATTTGAGTAATGTACATGTTGTGATTGCTTGTACATGTACATGTATACTAGTGCTGGGTATTGCCACTGTTGTCACAATATGATACATGTACGTATTGCGATTCAGGTGCCAAGACTACATCATGTATTCGTATCACGATTTATAACCAGGTCAATATTTGCCAGGAAAACAACAGGATAAATGAATAATTGATATTTTTAGTCCTGTCGATGTTGAAGAAATAAAACTGTTTTATATCACGATATTGATATGGATCAAAATAAAGACCAAAATCATTTAAGAGTGTTTGTGTACCTATGGATAACGTGTAACATGGATAATTAAGATTGAGAGGTTACTTACTGAAGAGACAAAAAAAAAACACATGAAAAATGAATCGTGAGAACGTGATTCGCGATACATTGATTCCACAATATATCGTGCTAGCATTAATGTTTACAATCTGGTTAAAACACAGATCCTATTTCGTTTCGTTTTAATAGTTCAAAATTACGTTTTACTTGTCTTTACTACACTTGGATCTGGAAGAGTAGTTATTTAACTCGTGTTCTGAATGGTGTCAGGGATAAGCCAATGAAACGGTCTGTTAAGGCGAGCTTTAGGCATGTTTTGCACGGAACTGTGGGTAATCTACTAGTAACATCAATGCTGATTGGTTAATCAAATGTCTGACATCATAGGGTCATAAGTCGGTCTTTTGACCCCTGACGTGACCTATCGCTATAACTTGTCAGATCTTCATGTAGTGTAGGCCATCGAAAGTATAAAAAACGAAACGAAATATAGATCGTTATTTTAATCAGATTGTAATGTTTACTACAATATTGTAAAAGTTGAATAGTCTTAATTCTAATAAAAATATATATCAGTCCAAAAATCGTCCAATTCAGCTCAGTACATGTATTTACAAAGATATGATATAATGAACTAAACTCCATTGATCTATTTCTCCCTATGTAAACAAGCTCACTGCCATGTGGATTAATGTGATTGAATCAAAGCTGGGAGATTATTTAGTGTTGATATTTTGATTTTCTTTTCTTAATTACATGTAAATGTTAAATTATCAATCTGAGTACATATTACTATTATTACTACAGGTAGTGACGGTAGTGTTGATATTTTGATATGAGTACATATTACATGAGAAATTGATATTTTATGAAATATACATGGGGGGTTGGATGGCTGAATGGTTAGCGTGCGCGCGCTGTATCATAAAGTCTGTCATTGAGTCGACTGGCGTGGTTTCGAATCCCCGGTTGTACGTGGCAAGGAGTAGGGTCGCCTGTCCAGCCTCGTGGGTTTTCTCCGGGTCCTCCGGTTTCCTCCCACTGCTAAAGACCCCTACGCGCAAGCGAATTATTGAAATAAAATTAAACCATATGTTAGTCCCGAAATGACCTAGTTTGTGTCGAGTGGACGTTAAACCCCATTTCTCTCTCTCTCTCTTATGAAATATACAAATCATGCACAGTTACTGAACCTATAGAATTTTTTAGGGCTTTGTTATTTAATTGATTTCAAAATATCATGTGCACTGCTTATATATGAATACTAGCTTCTACTGATAATGCACATGTTGCGTCTCTGTCCCGTAGCCACTTTAGAAATCCCTATTTGAATGATGTTGAAAATTCCCTGAAGTAATGTATAATAAGTTCAACTTTTATTAGACTGCCAGTACATGTAATTAGTAATTAGAGTTCATTTATGGTTGTGTAGGGCATCTATAGGAAATTAGAACCATAAAGACGAAACAAAATAAACACATGAATTTAGTGACCAGTAAATTATTGAAGTTAAATCTTGTATCTCACTAGCAAATTTTTAAATGATATTGTATATCAAGAATCATGTTGGCTGCCACTGTACTGCAGACATGGCAAGAATATTTCGAGGATGCAGAAACAAAAAAAAAACATTTTATATAAACTTAATCCATTTTATATTTCAAATTTGTATGAATTTATTAAGATTAAATATTTTATATAATCTACATATAATTATAAAGAGATCATGTAGATTATGTTATTTTTATCTACATTTCCAGATAGTAATTAATGATAGTAATTTATATTTTACAGGCTCTTCTATGCAGTTCATTTGTCCCATTTTACAGTGGTCTTATCCCACCAAAGTTCCGTGGAGAGGTAGGTAGCTTATTTATTTTATCTGTATGTATATAGCTAAAGTCATATTGTTAAAAAAAAAAATACATTGTTGGATAGAAAATGAATATTGATTTGTAATCCATATGGTGGAGACAGCAGTTATAGTGTAGTGGCTATTGGACTGATATCCTGTCGAAGTCTCATTTTACTTGTCTTCGCTGATATTATTACAGAGCTGAAATTCCTCAGTTTCTGTTTACATGTACATGTAGTAATAAGCATGTTCCAAGGTTGTGGACCCTCTAGAGGTCACAATCTTTATTTGATTTTGATGAAACTTAAAATATATGTTTAAATTCCAAAGATCTTTGATCCTTTCAATATTGATGAATGTTGGACGGCAACAACATCCTGAATTGTGATCCCAGGATGTACAAATAATCGTGGGGTTGGGTGGCCGAATGGTTAGCACGCGCGCTTTATCATACGGTTTGTCATTGAGTCAACTGGCGGGGTTTCAATTCCCAGGTTGTACGTGACAAGGAGTATGTTCGGGGAAATACGCCAGACGTCTCAATCGAATGGCAACCTCTAGAGTCTGGTTGTTCAAGCCTACACAGATAGTATTTATTGCACATATTCTTGTGGAATATGTCTAGCCTCGTTCTTTGAGTCCCTTGTTACAAATGGCGCTGAAACGCATTATTCCACGATTCATGTACCAATGGTAAAACATTTATTTTGTCTTAAATATTGGGTATCAGAAGTCCATCTTTTCCCGGTAAGATCACAACATCAATGTTGATTTAAATTGACAAATAATTCGTGTTTTCAATGTCGAAGACTTCGGATGATATTGAGTTAGAGCAGTGGTTCTCAACCTTTTTTTGCTAAGGGCACACTTGGAACACATAAAAAAATAGCGGCACACCTGGCTAAATATATATGAAAAATATTTGAATTTTGCAAAACAAAAACATGGCAAGTCATAGAAGGCATACATCCGTAGACACACCTAGTCATAGACACATAGAAAGTTTCAAATTTCATCAAATAGCTGGCTTCTTTAGTGAGAAATTTTCTTAATGTGCCATTCAAAATTTCTCGGCACACTTAGGAATATCTCGAGGCAAACCTGTGTGTCACGACACACTGTTTGAGAATCACTGAGTTAGAGGCTTAGCTACTTTAAATTTAACGATTTGATCAATTTAATTTATTTTTCAGAGATATGTTGATGGAGGATTGAGTGATAATTTACCTATCCTTGATGAACATACAGTTACAGTTGCTCCTTTCGCAGGAGAAAGTGACATCTGTCCAAAAGACTTGTCTTCTAATTTTCTCCACATCAACATAGTCAATACCAGCATGCAATGTAGTGCCAAGAATTTGTACCGTATGTCACATGCTCTGTTTCCACCCGACCCAGAGGAACTGAGTAATATGTGTAGACAAGGCTTTGATGATACTTTAGTCTATCTTCAACAAAACAGTAAGTGTAAAAGATACGAATCCATTTTTAGACTTAGAAATTAGTTAAACTGTTTCCTTTAAAATATAGCTTATAAGATTAAGACTGTGTCATGTAACAATTGCTTGTTATTTTGAATTGATTTATTTGTTATTTGGAGGAGAAGAAAAATGTGAAAATAGATTTATTTAAAGGAGAATCTGCAGTAGTACTCTTGTCTCATATTTTTTTTTTAGTGAACTTAATGTGCCATCTATTTCATTGATAACTTTTGCTCAGTCTTGACTTAACAACCCTGTATGGTATAGTTGTTACCACTATATATACAACTCCTATATTTGCACATAGTCTGCCGTTACATTACATATGAACCTAAAAAGAGATCTTTACTTTAAAATTTTATCTGAAATATGTTTACTCTATTACTTGTATCAGATATATGTAAAGTAGGTAAGTGTCCTTTTATCACCATCAGAATGTTGTGAGACTCGTACAAATGTTTTTATACAATGTTTTAATGATATTAAACACCCAGCCATGTTTCTACACATGTACATGTATATAAGTAAGGATTTGTATTTCTGTAGAACTTTAGAAGGGTCTAGATAAACATGAGCTTGCCAAACCTGTGGTATACACCCAATTCTAAATACGGTCAGGGTCATAAAGTGTTTATTAACCTTCAAAGCAATGTTTTATCTCCATATTGAAATATCTTTTGTTAGCCATCAGATATGTTTCCCTCTGATAAGACTGATTATTACATACGTCTCATGTTTCAACTATTTTGTCATCTGTAACTTAAATAAAAGTAGAAAGAATTGCGTGCATGCAAAGATTTGGTAATGTCCCGGGGCTGTCAACTCCTTGAATTGTATGCTTCTGATACTCAAGTATAGGGTCTAGTACTCAGTAATATTAGAAAGAAAGACATTTTAGATACGTAACGACAGATGAAAATAAACTTTTTATTCAAATTAAGTAGTACAGCTTGTACACAAAGTTATAATTTCAAATTTCAAAAAACTCTCTTCACTTCTTTGCACGCCATTAAGTAAAAATCTTATAGTTCTGCCGGTTGTCCCGATGGGGTTAATATACTAAATACTGTAGAAGAGATAAGGACATACTCCTTTGAAAGTTGTGGAGGTGATAAGTTCAGGCCCCCAATTCTTGATGGGTAATTTTGAACTGATCGATGCTTCAATTACCTATTATAATCTTGCCAACTTTGCGTATATTAATTTTCCTTACCTTTTATTTCAGATCTTATATCTTGTATAAGACATTTAACTGTTCGATCATCAATAACAACCAAATCTTTACTGGAAGATGGAGCATCAGAAGACGTTAATGAATCCGTTATGGCACATCATAATCATAATGAAGAAGATTGTCCAGAATGTAAAAAGAAACTTCAAGTGGCTTTATTAGATTCACTACCTCCAAGCGTTGTTTCAGGTAGGTTGTTAGTTTAAATGTGGCCCATAAAAAAGGTGTAATAAAGGCATTTATTTTATTTTGGAAAAAATAAGGCTAGGAATCCTTTGTAGATTAACAGTGCACAGTCTACAACACAACAAACAGTAAGACATTTCCGTGTGGATGTGAAGTGGGCTTAATAGAGCATATTATCTAGAATTACTATTATTGCAATTAACTCTCATAATATCTTTAGAGTTTCAAAATTATCATCAGCTTTTGACAATCTTCTGGTGAGGAAAGATCAAAATTTGAGTAAATTTTGCATAATTTAGTGTGTAATGCATAGAAAAAGTGGAAATATACATTACGTACTATACATTTTATACACACTATACACATGTTTTCTTAGCTTATATACCGTTATATATTTTTAAACTAGTTCAAAATCGCCAGGGTTTTTAAGACAGGGTCGTGTTGCATCCACCCATACTATAAGCCAAATCAGTTTAACTATTCTGACCTCGTCGGTCGGAGGTTAATGTTAACTACGCATGGGTAGCTTTATATTCTCTATTAGGTTCTTGCACGCTTTTGATAACACTGGCACTGCATTACGCCACCATTTTCCCAGGAATGTAACTTACAGCGCACTGTGCATCTCAAAAGCGAGCTGGGGCCGTTGTTTTTAAGCCAACCCATTTAGACAGCCAAGATGAACCAGTTTAAAATTAAAAGCCTTCTCGAAGACAGGGCACGAGCTGGGTTTTTTAAACTGGTTTATTTTCCCCACATTTGCATTCAGACAACAAAGTTAAACTAGTTTAATGATCCCCGGCATTTTAAAACCAGTTCAGCTTAAGCATCTAAACGGGCTATTAAAGTCTTGCTTTGAATGTGGCACAAATTAAAATAATTTGCCCGTGTATAATTCCATAGATCAATTATGTATCTTCAGTTCTTCACCTGAAATTTTGTTCACTAACTCTCTATGTTAAATAAGAAAAACAACCTAAAATATTGTACCTGTGCTAGTTATATGTGCGAATCTCTGTATTAATGCGCTCTCTCTCTCTCTCGGAACATGAGATAATTCAAGGGAGATAAATCACATTTAACAGGTCTACAGCCAATCCTTTGTCTTCCATATAATGTATATATATATTTGTTATTTTCAGCATTACAGACAGCATGTGATTCAGTAAATAACGGTTTAATAAACTATTTCTTCAGTACACGACCTGTACGACTTCTATCAATAGCAGTTACACCATGGATGTTACCAATAGATATAATATATAATTATGGTGTTAAGTAAGTATTTTATCTTCATCTTAGTAAATGCGCAGATGTTTTGATTGTGAATTTAATTTTGAATAAAATATCAATAATATTGAATAATATGTTTCGATTTGAAAATAATGTGACACATCCTACTCTTGTCCAAAATATATGTGAATTCTTGTAATTTGAACATAATATTGTGAACTGAAATTATGGGGTTTAATGTCCCACTGTACTGCTCTGATTGGGTTAATGAAAACGGTCATACGACAAACAGTGTGCTATGCCTACCCTTATTTCGAATTCCAACTACATGTATCAAGGGTTCTTTTATGTGCACACCAATGTGTACACGTCCCATCCGAACGACTATATGTTGTCCCTTGCCAGGCCCTCCGTCCTACACCATTGACAAAGGGGTATTCTGATGAATTTTCTTGGCCAATACTAGGTTTGACTAAAGGACCTCCAAATTAATGAGACAACACAGCATCTGTAATTTTAAAATATAAGATACACACAATTTAATAGATAATGACATCCATATTATATTATGAACGTCATTGATTAGCCTTCCAACTGTTTTATTATACACCCACATTTTCATGTGGACGTATTAGACCATGTAAAATTGATACCTTGTTTCTTCTCGCCCACGCGCTCAGGAATAGGGACACAAAAATCGCCCGCACAGGTTCTCAACACAAAATGAAAATATTTAAAAAATACGAATTTTTAACCGAATAAGCGATCTCCGAATGTTTAAAAGTTCATAGTATGCCGGTTCAGGTCTATAGCCATCGATTATACATAGTTAGGGCTTCGGTATACCATAGATAATGTACATTGCCTTTCATTAGCCATAGACGTGTGTTTTTGATAATAATAATATCGTCCGATGAAAATACGGATCTTAAATCAATGCTGCCATGCTAATGTCTAAATCGTAAAGTTAGAATATTTTTTATTGGATGAAAGTGGCAGGAAACGTGTAATCTAACCAATGAAAAAGCGACTCTTAGGCGAGTCCTGGCTTGTGAAAAATCAGCATGGGAGGATCTGTTGGAAAGCAACAACATTTCTTGACTGGACAGACATTGGCGTGCCGTATAATTTTACTTTTGACGACATTGTCAAGTCGGCGTACAGCGTGAATGATGATATAGTACCCCAAAACCAGTTTAAAAGGGATTTGCCAGCAGCCGATTGTTGCCATAAATTTTTCGTAGGTAAATCGAAGGAAGATCAAAACATCACTCAAATTGCGTCAAATTTAATAAAATGTTGGCCAGGTCACCGACAGTTTTTTTAAAACAGATTTCAGACCTGAAATTAGTTCTATATCTGGGGACATTTTAAGGTTTTAAAACTACATTAATGTAGTCTGTGGATATGTAAGTCTTTTATAAATTGTAGTTGTTTGCATGAAAAAAACTCAAGTGTATATCATATGAATGAGAAAGAATACTAAATTCATAGTGTATAAAGGTCTTGCAAAAGTTTGTGTTGAAAATTACAGTTTGTGTTCTGTTTACCGCACACCCTCTTAGGTTTACCCAGAGCATGGGGAGAAGAAACAAGGTATCAATTTTACACGGCCTTATGCCGTCGCTCCTGTCTGTCCGTCGCCCCGTCCGTCCACAATTTGTTTGTGGACACTCTACAGGTCACAATATTTATCCGATTTTGACGAAACTTGAAATATAGGTTTATCTTCAAAAGATCTCATTTCAATTCGATAATCGTGCATATCGGAACTTGCTGTACTATTATGTATGGTCCCTGATTGTTCGAAAAATCATGTTTTTTGTTTGTGGATCCTTAGAAGTCACAATTTGTATTCAATTTTGAAAAGCTTTTAAACATATCATTGTTACACCTCAATGAAGGTTGACTTAAAATTTCGTAAATATCTGCCCAAAACTGCCGGACAAAATGGACGCTTCTTGTACGCAAATTGTCAAAAAGTATGTAATACCAAGGTTGTGAACCCTCTAGAAGTCACAATTTTCATCCGATTTTGATGAATCTTAAAATGTATGTTTGTAATGCAAAGATCATAAGCCGAAGAAGCCTATGGATTTTCAACGATTTTCCAGTAATTACCCTGAGAGTTATGGCCCTTTATCACTTTGAAAAATTTTGTAGACGCTTTATATTTAATATATTTATGGTTAAGGTCATCCTTCGAAGAAGCCTATCAATTTTCAACGATTTCCAATGATAATGGCAATCGATATTAAATGTTTTGTATGCTAAATGTTAGAAAAGGGCAGAACTAGAAGCCAAATGGGTTGTTACTCGTAATGTGTTGTAAATGTTTTCATTTTTGACAAAGAAAAAAATATGTGCCAACCTTTGTTGACTCCCTGAACAACTTAGCTGCTTAGGACATATGTTTCATTGCCTGGCTAGCTATCTTTTATGTTCAAGAACAAAAGTGTGTTTTGAAATAAATGTAATGGGCATTAATTTCTTGCTCCCATATTTTACTGATACCAATTCTTTTCCCACTACAAATCACTAAAATTGAAATGTCATTATTTGAATAATTTGATTAACTTTAAAATGTTTTCAGGTTTCTTGAATGGTTACCATCAATGCCACAAGATATCCAGGCCATGTTCCGAGAACTATCAGAAATTATACAGGAGTTGATCACCCAATTTTTACACCAAAGACATAGTTACTCGGCAAGGTTAGTAAAAAATTTTCAATGAAAGTATCGCCTTTAATCTCATCTAGATCTGTTGTGTAAAATGTAGAAATAACAATAGCAGAATAATAAAATTCTAGAAAGTTAGGTTTTAGTTATTGTTTTTTTTGTATTAGAACTGAACATTTTGTCATCAAAGAATCACTTTTTCTGTCTTTGCTTGAAACAATCATTGCTGGAAAATAAACAAATAAAATGAAATAGGTGAATAAAAGATATATTTCCTTGACAGTCAGGATGCTAAATGCATTGATATCGATTTAACAACATATCCAAACTATAAGAAATTATATATTACATGAAGGTACCAAAAACAATATATCTTGCAAACCTGCATTTAATTTTTGATTAGAAATATATTTTTCGTTATATGATTTATTGAGTTGAACAGATGACTCAAGGGAACCTGTCTTTAATGGCAGTACATGTATATTAAAGTATCTAAGTCTCTAACTCAATATCGTCCAAAGTCTTTGACATTGAAAACCCAAATTATTTGTCAATTTAAATCAACATTGATGTTGTGATCTTACCAGGAAAAGGTGGGCTTCTGATATCCAATATTTAAGACGAAATAAACATTTTACCATTTGTACACGAATCGTGTACCATAATGCGTTTCAGCGCCAATTGTAACAAGGGACTCGAAGAACGGGGCTAAACATATTCCACAAGTCATGTCAAACGGTGACGTCATATTCTTATCTGGAGAGCATGCGCAATAAATACTATCGGTGTAGACTGGAATAACCAGACGCTAAAGATTGTCATTCGATTGAGACTTCTGGTGTATTTCGCTGAACATAACCGATTTGAAATTAGAGTAAAAACGGAAACAATTGAATGTAAATCAGTTTATATACATTCATATTACATTACTGTATGTGTTGTGACCCATTTTTGTCAATATCTAGGTTCCAAATATTAGCGATTTAGCTCCTTTAAAGTATAATTGCTATGTAAGATGTAGGGGGGTTGGAAGGCTGAATGGTTCAACATGTGTACTTTAGATCATAAGTCCTGTCATTGAGTAAAGTGGTGTGTTTTCGATCCCACACTTATATGTGACAAGAAGTAGGGTTGTCTCTCCAACCGCTTGGGTTTTCTGTGGGTACTCCGGTTTCCTCCGACTAGTACATGTAAAATACTCATGTTCGCAAGCGAATTATTGAAATGGGCTTGAACCATATGTTATTCATGGATTGACGTTAAACCTTATGTCTCTCTCTATGTAAGATGTACAATGTATCTTGTAGTATTTGTTATTGTCACAACTTGTTAGTGTAATTAATGTTTTACGTTTTTTTCTAGATTTACTTGTCAACTGGCTATAACAGAAGTTAAATGTGAAAAAGAAAAACGAAGAAAATTAGTGAAGAAAAGAAAAGCAAGCGAGATTGGACCAATGATACGCAATTATAATATTGGATTTGCTGTAGATTTTAATACCCAGGAGAAGGACACTATGGGGTCGTTACAAAGTTTAGAAGGACACATTGACAAAATTAGCATGGAAGATATTCATTTTGAGCAAAGAGATGAGGCAGGTTCCTTAAGTTATTATCCAAATTCGGAAAAACCATCTCAAACAAATGGCGCCCCATGTCAACAATTATTTGACACTTTTGAGCAATGTTTACATGTGACAAACCATTTGGATTCTGTTTTGTCCTATCATTATCAAGATCCAAACAACAAAGGATGTTACAAGTTCGCAGAAATCTATAGCCTGAAGGGCGTTCCGATAAATATACCAGAAACTGACACAGATACCTCACAGACCACAGCCTCAGATATGGATCTGTCATGGGATAGTTATGTTGAAATGAAACCAGAAATTGAAGATGAAATCGAGGCCTTTATTGACTCCGCAATGTGTTTGCCAGAATTTGATTCTGATAGTTATAATCAGGAATAACAGATGTTCAAGAAAATTTGTTATAGATTACACCACAAGTGTCTTCCCGCTATGCTTTTATATTATTGAGTCACTTCTCCTACATCTAGACAAAACCAGGGGAAACATATCTGGACTGCTACTAATGGCGATTTTCTGTGGGATATTGTTGTGACAGTTTAGATGAAACCATTGAATTTTGTAATATGTTTTGTTAATGAAGTGTAATGTGGAATTTGTAAAAACATATTTCAAAAAATCCAATGTTTATGAAAACCTTTGTTATGCCTGTGGCTTGTTCTAATTCTAAGGGAAAAATATCGTTAACATCTTAAATGAATATTTGTTACATATTTCTCTGTTTATTACACAAATGGCTGTTCTATATTTTATTTTTGAAACGTTTGATTATTTTAAAACCAAAAATAGTTTTGATAGTTCGAAGGAATCGGTTGATAGTCCTTTAGACGTGGCAGATAGACTCATTTAATTTTATGATACATGTATCTACAACTTTGATTATTTAAATTTTTTATGGTGGTCGTTGAATGTGCTACTGTTTTATGATAGTGTATTGCAAGAACAATTTTAATAGATCTTGATTATTCCAATCTTTTGTTTAAGTACACAAATGGCTGTACTTTAAGGCAATGAGTTCTGTGATTAATATCCATTTCTTCCTGATATTTATACATATACATTGAGACTACTTGTAGATGAATGTGTTCCTGCAGATTTAAGAATTTAAAGTGATAAAATATTTTAATATAAAAAAACAAACCACAAGGAACAATTTATGTTTAGAAACAATTGTGTTTTCTTTAGTTGTATAAATATATATTTATGCTTACCGGTATTTCTTTCATTTGTAAATATATATACAAAACCAGTGATTTTATTTTTGTCTTTGTGTTCTTATATTATCTAGTAGGTCTAGTGTATATAATTATATTCAGAGTTAGCAATAAATGTGTGTTAAAAATTCAATCCTAATTTAGTTTTTAGATTTGATAGCCATTTCTTAAAACATAGAGTATATGTATATGTTGAAAATTCATTAATATTTGTCTTTTAGACAATTGTTTTAATATAGATCAATCTTATATTGTATATATATATATATATTCACTGCTGTAATTTTATTTTTCGAAGGTGTATGCAATTCATACTAAATAAGTTAAATTTATTGTGCACATAATTTTTATTTAGAATATATAAAAAAAAAATTATATTGGATAATTTAAACCAGTCAAAGTGCTTTTTATACATGTATTGTGTCATTGAATTTTTCTTTTATAATTGTATTTAAAATGTACATAAAAGGCCATACTAGTTTTATACACGGTAAATTTGTACGACATCCTCATCAGTAAAGCACAAAAATTCATACGGTTGATATTATTCTGTACTATGACCAGTGTATATTTTTCTTCTAAGTAGTGCCCAATTTCTGAGGATTTAAAATAATGTTTAATTCAATTAACGATAAGTATTCTAATAAAACGTTTATCTTATCAATATATTTTATAATTTGGTAATCAAAGAAATTAATTGTATATAGCGGAATATTGGTATTTTGAACAAATTCTGGTATTGAATATGGACATCTGGACAAGTTCTGGAAATGAATATGGAAAAATTCTGGAATTGAACATGGATAAATTGACAAATTCTGGAATTGAATATGGACATCTTGACATGTTCTGCAATTGAAATGGACATACTGATATTGGATATAGACATATTCTTGTATTGGAAATGGAGATGTTCCGGTATTGGATATGAACACTTGAACAGATTGAGTTTTTTGACTGATTCTGGTATTAAGTGTGGCGAGTTGTACAGATGTTTATTTATGAGCAGATAATTTTCTATTTCGTTTAACTTTTAAAGAAAATTACGTTCGTAAACCCTCGTCCTCTGTTATTATTTCCACGCTAAACCTTGTAAACTAATTATACATCTGGCGTTGCAGGAAATTGTTCATAACCTAAACATTATATAAAAGCTATTTACAACTTGTGAAGTAGTAGTTACTGTAATTACAACCAGTACGACCTTACTATATATCTTTTATAATCAGTATGTAATTTGTATATTTGTCACACTATGCTTGATTTCAAAGAGATTGTTAAGGAAGGGCAACAAAAGGATTGAAATGTTATAATTACTAGATATACAAATAACTATATTGTGATAATAAAGAGACAATTCACTCACTCATATTTCAATAATTGTGTTTTTTTTAGAATTTAACATCCATGGACATAAATTTGCACCCCTTTTTAAAGTGGCAACGGGTCTATGCAAGCCCGAATTATTTGTGGTCATTAGTCAGCCTTAAATCGTACCAGATATTGAATATGAATATTAATTAAGTTTTAACTCAGGTACTTGCAATATTCTAGATTAATGCCCTTGTTTATCCCGATATATACATGTAACACCATTTTGCTTGCCAACTTAGTTGTTATTGATGGATTTCAATCTAAACAGAAGGGTCTGTGTAAGGCCCAGTTCGGTTTACGATTTACACTCTACCAAATGGAAATATAACAAGACCCCAATTATATCACTTTGTTGTAACCGGGCTTTCAGAATCTACATAACTCTGATCTTAGGCTACAGCTAGCAGTTTTTACTGGTTTCGGATAGTTTTGTGGTATTGTAAGGCCTACGCAGCTACATCTTGTATGTGGATAACTGTCTGTAGATAATTCATTTACAGCTACTGTGGTATGTAGGCCTATATGATAATGTTATCAGATCTTGAATGATTGATCTTTAAATAAAAAAGTAAATAATACTGAAAATTACCACCAACCAAATGAAAATGAAACTAATAGCTACAGCTTTAAAAATAGCCGTAAGTGTATGCACCAAACCTTAAATGCTACAAATCTCAGGGTGTTTTCAGAAATGCCCTTTTTTCACATCAGAAATACCAGGCATATCTGTAGTCTCGGGCTGTTCTTTGACTCAGTCCAGGGTACCTGCATAAGTTTCATTAATATATATATTTCTATTCACTGTTTTCCTATGGAATCTGTTCTTCATTTTATTTAATTGTCTTTATGAAACACCCTGTTAGATCGGCATTCAATAACCTAACCAGGAGCGGATATAGGAAAGGTGGTGTGTGTGTGTGTGTGGGGGGGGGGGGGGGCTTCCTTCTTTTCGACTGGCAATTGTGTTTCTTGTTAATATCTCTTCACTACAATTGTTCCCATCAATGTATAGTCAGTTCTATATTTTCTTGCAGTATCCCCATTCATAAATTGTTTATCCGACATTGGGGAACGTTAATTAAATTGTTAGGAGTTGGCCTATTCTAAATGCGTAATTATTAACAACCAATTATATAGTATGTTAATGAAGACCAGGCGTTCTTATAATAATGTAGGGTCATTAGTTTTATTTTGAATCGTTCGTTCGTTTCCGGAATTTTAAGTCCACGTGATATCGTAGACAAGTTATTGTGAGTCAAATTGTCAAGTATAAGTTCAATAATAATAAACATAACAGAATGACATATTTCAGACAAAGAACGAATAGTAATAATAATAAACAAAAGTCAAACATATAGATAATTTGAAATCGTGGAAACCCTATGGATTAACCCAGGGTATAGTGGAGTAGAACGGAATGAGTACACTAGGTAACCGAGGATGGGACTAATGAAGCGTACGCCATACATTGTGATATGATGAGGGAATGATGTGATATGATGGACACGGAGCGTTGGGTTTTCGTCCTTGCAAAACCACACATTCTGCAATTTGTACACTAATTTATCTCTCATAAATTATTAGCATTTCTCGACCTCTTAAGACACACAAAATATGCAAGTTTCACAGAATAAGTATTTTCCTCTAATATATAAAAAAACGTAAAATGTATATTTGTAAAAAATGCAGCTTTTATTTTCTGATGTAGGGTTATAACAGAAGATTCTTTCTTGTTGGGACAACCTTAAACATACATTATGCAAGAGCTAATTTCTTTAGGTCTGAAATGTTATCTAAATTATTACATTGTAATTAGACATTAATTAACTTGATGTCATCGCTAGCCTGCGATATTTACTGGATTAGGATCCGATTTGCTGCTCAACTTACATTCATGATTAAATCATGAAATGGATAATCGAGACTATGTTTTTTATCGTACGGACTCTAGTAATGATGATCGGGGATAGGCCGAAAATTCAATGGCTAAATTTTCGGTTCAGAGTGGATCAATTTGACTGAAATTTTCAGCAAATTCCCTTTACATTATCTAGTTTTTAACTATTACTAGTATTATCGTGAGAACTGTCAGCTCGTTATCTAATCTCCCACAATGTATCTTTAAATAAATAAAGGCATTCTGAAAATGTAGCCTTTCTGGTACATGCTAGAGACGACTCTTTCAAGGTAGTCGGAAAATAGCGTTTACTGATAGGTAATGCGTTTATTACAATAAAATATTGGCACTATAAGATGCTAGCGGAAACTGTGTTAAACGGGGTGTCTACTGGTAATATTTGCTTTTCAAGGAAATTTTATTTATATATTATGAAGTAGACATAATAAACGTAAAAAAAATACAAAAGTTCTTGCATGTAAAAATATTACTTTTAAAAAAATGTGTTTGAAATTGATTTAAAATTTTCAGACATAGTAAAAAAGCAAATTCGTAAAATTTTGGCATTTGAATTGCATTCTTTAACCTAATTTTATTTTCACTGTCCTGTGAAATCTCTGACGCATCCTTTATTTATTTGCATTAGTTCAAATCGATAATGGCGTCATTAAATTTAGAAATTTGAGTTTCATTCATTTCAAAGTATTCTTTTAAGGTTAACGACAAGAAATACGGGGCGTTAGTATTCATGCATTTTAATTCCCATAGTTTTCTTCCATCAATATTCTTGCAATTTTCTGCACACTCCCCAAGATCATTTTCTTTCAGCCACGTTTCTACGTCGCGCTTTTTCATCTTAGAAAATGATTCTGTTATATCTGCTTTTAGTATTGGTGATATAGTTTGACAAGCTACTGAGGATGTTATTTTTCTGACTTTATTGAGGGAAAGAGAATTGCGACTTTCTGCGTTGAATCCTTCAATTTCTGTTAGTTCTTGTAGAAATGTCTCCATGCCCCTTAAGAAGTCGATTTCATCTCTACCCATAAAATCAAACTTTAATTCTTTACATGGACCGCAGAGAATTAGGCCAAGCCACCCTCCCGGATAGTACGGCCATTGTAGATATATAACGATGACGCGTTTATCCTTAGAAAACTTCAAAGTGTAATTTGCTATACGTCTGCAACTTTCATTACTTCTGAAGCCTTCGGACACACACATTACTACTATTGTCGCCCTTGCAATAGTTTCTGCCAAAGCTTCCAAAGGGTCACCCTGTACGACCTTTTCTTTGGTATTTTCAGGATCGAATAAAACGTTGTAGCCTTCTAATTTCAAATTGTTCCATATTTTTTTTACTTTGTCATCATCACCCGAGTAATAATTGACAAATACATGTCGTGGCTTTGCCTTTTCAGTTTTTGATGCAATCACTTCTTCGACCCTGTCTCGCAAATTACAGAGAGCACCATTTACGTGTTTCAAAAGCTCGGTATTAGACTGGTCCGTTTCCATTTCTTCAAGCATCGTAACAAGATCCTGGTTTTCTTTAAGAATATGTTCTTTTGCTTTAGAGTGAAAGGTCAGATTCCCTAAGCATTTCGCAGCACTTATTCTATATTCAATCGGAGCTGACTTCTTTAGCATTCTCCTCAGGGCTTTCGGGGCAAGCCTGTCCATAATGATGTTTTCTGCGTACCCATCAATTGCTAGCTGACTAAGGGCATCAGCAAGCACGTCTGCCGTGAAACCTTCTTTAATTCGATGGGTTTTATCGCAGTCAATACTGAGATTCATCCAATGTATGATCGTTTTTATTGATTCTTTATCATTAGTCATTGTTTGAGACTGGGGAACGTCGGAAATATAAGCTAACGTAATCAAAGACAGTACTTTGATATAATCATCGTCATAGTTCTTAAACTTCATCAGTAGCTCAAAAGAGCCATGCTCGCCGAACTTAACTCTGTTTTCGTCTATGCGAGCTAAGTTCGTCATAATGGCAAGAGTTGCTATGGTAATCCAATATTTGTTGCCAGCCTTTTTAATTGACTCAGGGGGAAACATTTTCAAATTTTCACACATTAACATAATGATATTGGCTTTGGCTAGATCACGAGCAAATTCGCGGCTAGCATTCGCGTAGTTCCACATAATGTTCATAACATATTTGGATGTTTTCCAAGTATTAGAAAGTGCGTTGACCACATTTGAACACGCGTATCCTTTTCTCTGTAAGACTTGAAGCATTGTGAACGCATACTCTGAATAGTTACAATTAGACAAGGCATTTCCTATTAACTCACGGAAAGGCCAATACTTCTTCTGGTAGTACGTGTCATTCAATTTACTCAAAGTTGAAGACCTTTCCTCGGGATTGGATACACATTCCCTTATTTCCTCGACTAAACCTCCAATCAGTTTATGTGTTCTTTGTTCAGTCTCAGCGTCCATAGTGACTGCTGAGATATAACTGTTTCGCGTAAAGAAAATAGAAATGTCCTTTGTAAATTATTTCCTTGATGGACACAGATCACCAAATATTCCTACGCCGTCACCCACGAAACAAGGGCCAAAGCTATTTATAGTTTAGGGCCTGAAATTGCATGTTTACTTGTCTCTACTTCCAGCTTGTGTATCTCAAGTTTTTCATGAAGAACCTCATCCGTGCTTTTGGGCAAGTGGTTGCCACATGTTGCTCCATCTGTGGTAGAAAGCGTTCTACCCAACGAAAAGTTAGAGCCGGTCTAAGATACGAGAATTAACATTGGAGTCAATGGGGAATTCTTTAGTGATCTGTGTCCTGATGACGTCTTGCGATATGAAAGTGAGTTATCCCCCCTTTTATATCTAAAAGGAGGCAGACCACCATTAATTTCCCCATTGACTTCAATGTTAATTCTGTTGCTTACCTCCAACTTTCCCCCAAATTTTCGTTGGGCTGAATGTTTTTCACTGCAGACAGAGAAACACGTGGTCATATCTTTGCACTAAAATTTGTATGAGGTTGACCACCAAAATTTTAAGATACACAAACTTGAAGAAGCATACTAAAAACATGTAACTAGTTGCCGTACATGTCACGGTAACCAACCTG